ATGCATATTTTGTGTACTGAATGTAGGTCATGAACAAATTTCAATATCGCAAGGGCATACCCTAGTTGAAATTAAAAATTCAAGTTATTATTTGTATCTGCATACTTTGTAGATTCTAAAAAGTGCTGCTGCTTTGAATACATTTCGCGTTTCAATAGTTAAATTTTCAGGTAAATATGCTAATGTCGAAATATGTTTGACTTTTACCAAACATTTTATATACTTATAAAATCACGCCCTCGATTTAAAGCAAGCAACAGCAATTTTCAAGTTAAGAAAAATATCCTTAATCTATATGCAAAAAATGGTTAAGATCTATGAAGTGTATGCCCTTGCGAAAGTGCGATTTTATGAGGCATATCTATGTAAAACATACGTAACCTGTACATAAAAACACGATATAATTAATTAAACACATTTTTTGATAATTGATTAATAATTGCACTAAACAGAGGATATGCATTGGTATTGATCGGCTATTGAAAACCTGTAGATAATATTTCGTTTAATAATAAAACGCATTTTTCATTGTTAAAAAATTCCTCAATCTGCCTCCCACAGCACATGAAATACGTCATTTTTACCAAAATGACGTCATGTTTACAAGTTCATGTCGATCAGTGCTTTGTCTAAAACTAGCTACATGGGATTTAACTAGCAGGTTTTTTTAAATGCATTGATAAGTTTTATTGTTGTTTATTATGCGAATACGGTTAAAATTTGCAAAACTATTTCATTTTCAGGTACAATGAAAAATACATAAAAGTAATATTTTGTGTGACGTCACAGTAAACTTTTCCCGTATAAATTAGGCCCCGTCCCCTTATTCAAGCATTAACAATGCTGCAAATCTAATTTGACATTAAAAGACAAGTACTCTGGATGCATATTATTTCTCTGTAGTCAGTTTCAGCATATTTTAGGTCTATACTATTTTTTTCAGGGGTAAAACTTTATATAATGTTGGAAACGGAAACCACTCCCCCCTTTTGACGTAATTTTCAAGGCTTCATTTGTTTACACATTCCGTGTAAAACTTACGATAAAAATTCATAAATCTTCAGAATGAAGTGAAAATTCATATTTGATAGAACTATTGTGTCTCGACACATACCTGAATTAACGGGTTTTTCGGATGTCAGATAATCATATCAAATGAGATTTTCTCAGATACGCTGCACTGTTAAGGCCTACTATGAGAAATCAATGGAAAATATATGTACAAAAAGGGGGGTATTATTTTAAATTAAATTTATTTCAATTAAGCTGTTTTATTATCACAGAACGTTAATACCTATGGAACTAGCATAGTATTTGCGTGGACCCTGCGGTCCACGCAGTAAATATATAAGCGAAGTTAAACCGGATGCCCTGGGCAAACGACAGGCTATGCATGCGCGAGAATGCTAGGGAGTTCGCACTTTAGGTAACTTGCCCGTAGAATAATTCGCCCCATTTGAATGTAAATTTTGCTATTCATTGGCAAATCGCGCTTTTAAATCTGCATATCGCATTTACATATTCATTGTCAGATCCGTTTTTCTCTCTTTTACATAAACTTTTATATACAAACTAAACATTGATTCTATATGTATGGTACAAGCACTTTAAGAAGCCACTGTATATAGATACATGTAACTTAACAACTTGAATGAAAAACGTCACTCAACGATTAGAGACAAATTTGAAAATATAGTTTTCACCGGCAAATAGTTTTGTGCATAAAGGATCGCAAAATAATTTAATATTTCGGCAATCTAAATATTGTTTGGTAAAGGTCTGTAGCACCTGCTTTTAATGTGTGTATGTGGGGGGGATTGACCAAAAAAAATTGCGTACTACAGCTGTGCTACTCGTGAACCATCAGATCTCCATTTTTCCCATGATGAATTTCCTTTTTATTAATCCAGAACAGTATGAATTGCACGTATCAAAAAACCCAATTTTTTAAACTGACAAAAACTATATAAAGGTCGCTAATCGCAGATAAAATTTCACAATTTTGCTTTGAGACTAAAATCAGTTATAAGTTCGCAGATCATTGTAGTAAAAGTGAAAAAAAACCTACATTAATATTCCCGACACCTAGAAATTTTCTTAATTGAATTTCAGTTAGAAAAAACATGCCTATGGTCCACGTATTGCAGTCCTTTTTTAAAGGACAGCAACTTGTACCCACTCTGTACTGTATGAAGTTTAATCCCATCGATGGACAGTCACATGATGAATGCATAGTACGTGTACTGAATAAAGGTCATGAACAAATTTCAATACCGCAAGGGCATACCCTAGTTGAAATTAAAAATTCAAGCTATTAATTGTTTCTGCGCACTTTGTAGTTTCTGAAAAGTGCTGCTGCTTTCAATAGAATTTGCGTTTAAATAGATAAATTTTAAAGTAAATAGGCCAATGTCAAAAAGTATTAAACTTTTACCAAATATTTTGTGTACTTATGAAACCACGCCTTCGATTTAAAGAAAGCAGCAGCACTTATCCAGTTAAGGATAATATCCTTAATCTATATGCAAAAAAATGATTAAGATCTATGCAATGTATACCTTTGCGAAAGTACGATTTTATGGTGCATCTCGATGTAAAATATACATAACCTTTACATAAAACACGACATAATTAATAAAATACATTCTTTTGAAAGTTAATGAATTATCGCACTAAACAAAGGATCTACATTGGTATTAATCGACTATTAAAAACCTGTAAATAATATTCCGTTTTATTGTAAAACGCATTTTTCATTGTTAAAAAAATCCACAATCTGCCTCTCACAGTACATGAAATACGTCATGTTTACCAAAATGACGTCATATATACAAGTTCATCGCAATCAGTGCTTTGTTTAAAACTAGCTACACGGGATTTACCTAGCAACGTTTTTAATGCATTGATAAGTTTTATTGTTGTTTATTATGCTAATACAGTTAAAAATTGCAAATTATTTCATTTTCAGGTATTATGAGAAATATATAAAAGTCATATTTTTGTGTGACGTCACAGTTAACTTTTCCTGTATAAATTAGGCCCCGCCCCCTAATTCAAGCCTTAACAATGCTGCGTACACAATGGTAAAAAAAAAACCTCGTTTTCGAGATTGCGCCGCTTGGACATACCATTGCTTACAGAAACCTTACTAATTTATTAAAAAATAAAATCCATGATTTGTGGTTTATTCTTTGGATAGAAGAGATGATGCTTTCTAGATATTTAAAAATTCATTGATGTATCTTGAGCGGTTTTAATTTTATGGCGCTAGTTCACGAACTTTTTGATAACTTCTCGTATGTTCTGCTCCTAATTTGATTTGTTTTATGGACTTTTGATCTTAAATACTGGTTGTTATCACCGTATATTTACATTTGCCGATGTTTCTCCTTTTTTATAACAATTAAAATTAAGTTGAAATTCGAATTTCAATGACATACAGTTTATCAAATGATCAGACATAAGATTTTCATCAAGCTCGTTACTTGAATTTTGTGTACAGTTGCTTACTCATAGTGTATAATTATTATTTATTAAAAAATCACGGTAATGCTAAAACAACACAATGGATGGACCCCTTCCTTGCCTCAACCTCTTTCCTTGTTATATTAATGGCCGTCGTGGATCTGTCAAGTAATGATTCTTTTAAGACAGATGGCTTGAATTTTCCCACGTGAGTCTTTACAAAACACACTCCAGATTATTCATTATACAAACTCTTTCTTTAGAACGGTTAATACATGTAATGAGAAAAGCCAAAAACAAATTCAGATATTTTTTGTGTTATTTTATCAGGACAACTCGATGCTAATTAAAAGAAAAGAATTGATTAAAAACGCGTTCTAATGTAGTGTTCCAAAGTAAAATACTGAGGTAACGTTCCCTTTCTGCCCCAATCAATTGTCCTGAAGAGGTGATTGCCGATCTATTTTAAGTTGAGCTCAAATGTGCATATGGAGATGTAAGACATTTTTTTTTCTTGCTTAGATGGAATAATACAGTTTAATTGTTCATTGATACACAGTCAAAAACCTTAAATATTTAAACTAGTTTTTTATTTCTCTTAATACTTAGTCTTAAAGTTGTAATCAACGTTACTTAAATTTCTCTATTATGTGTCATTATTTATTTAGCAATTCATAATTATAGACCGGTCACGGTAGCCTAGTGGTAGAGCGTTCCCTTCGTAATCGGGAGGCCCGGGTTCGATTCTCGATCACGGCGGCGCGTCATACCTAAGATGTAAACATAGGTAGTGACTGTTATTTCGCCAAGCGCTCGGCACCAGTAGTGAAAGTAACGGGTCTTTCGGATATTACCTTAAAAAACGTAGGTCCCGTGTCACGGAAGGCGTTGGCACGATAAAGCACCCTCACTGCTCAATGGCCCTAAGTGCCGAATATAGGTCTAAACTTGAAGCCTTTCACCGGCATCGGTGACGTCTCCATATGAGTGAAAAATTCCCAAAAGGGACCTTAAACACTATACGATCAATCAATCATAATTATAGAAGTTGTTGAGTAATTTATGATTTATAGAATTTGCTGTAAGAAGTGCTCCCCAAGATGGATGTGTGTAAGCTATAAAATATAAAATGAAACGTATTAACTCTCCGGATATTTTTTTCTGTGTCTCAAACTGCTAGACAGATAAATGTTTTAAGTTTGAGGTTGTTTTTGTTTGATTTTGTTTATAGATTTTTTCTATCTCTATTGTTTTTTTTTTTTTTGCTTGTTTGTTTTGTTTTTGTTTTTTGTTTGTTTGTTTGTTTTTTTAAATACAATTTTAGCATCTTTTTTATATTAAAAATATCTTGAACATGTGTAATCATCAAGCTCAATGATAAAAAGTTATCTCAGAAAAGATCTTTAAACATAAGCAAAAGATGCATTATTTTCAGAATACAGTATTAGAAGAAAATGTACACCAATGATTTCACAGTTAATGGGAGCTTAAAAAATATTACAAACAATGTGCATTTTATATTTCGTTTAAGGAAAATGGTGTCTGTAGAAGAAGCCCTCTAGAAACATTCTTGAATTTACTCCCGAGTGTGCTCTGCATTTCTCCGAAAATGAGCCTGACGACAAAAGGTATGTGAAGGAATAAATATATTCACAAATAACGTTCTTAGAAATTGATACAAATCTTAGTGTTTATTACCTATTTTTTTCTATATTTTCTCTACTTTTATTTTACATTGTAAATGCTGTAAAGTTTTAACAATATTAAATGAGAAGAAATTTTGCCTTAGGACTGACATACATGAACCTTTTTTTTCTGTTTTTGCACCGAGTTTGTATATGTAGCATTTGCCTTTTATCCAGTGTTTTCCTGAGAATTTAACAAAACAGATGTTAACTGAAATTTGACGATATTCAACAGTTTGAAGACTAACATTAACTAGTAAACTAAACATCCAGTTAAAGCTGTTAAACTCACAAATAAAAGTCAATCAATCATACATGTAACAACAGCATCGATTTCGTTTTATTTAGCACTAATTAGTGTGTTTTTCTCATTTCATATTTAAAGAATAAAAACGATATTGATCAAATAAATGTCTTTTAGACATATGTTTCTATGTCAATCCTCAATGTATATAGCATAAACGATATTATCGATGTAGATGAATGTTTTTGGTATTAGATATAATGTAATCTAAACAATTATAAACTACAACGCCCTTGCTATTCAAACATACGTTCTGCTCGTTGTTTAGATGAAACATTATACAATTATTGACTAAGTTCGATGACAGCATGCGTTTGTTGGAACCAAGAACCTATTTCGGCCTCAGGAAGACAGTTTGGTTCGAGGGTCTGAAAAAAAATTCCCGAGAACTCTGTCAATATATGTTTTGTTATACCTTTCATTTATTTTTTTTTTTTTACATACATGTTTTTATACTGTATTCGGTGATGTAACATTCGGTCTGTCAATGTTTAACATCAACGAACGTAAAGGAGATTAAGCTCCGCCCATTCTGTGACCTAAGCTGTCCAACATCTCTCCGAGCGGTCAAAAATCTCACTCAGTGGTCAAACATCGATTTTGTTTTATGCCCGCTCAGCAAAACATCAAAAATGCTAGACTTTTTTCGTATAGATTTGTGTAGGAACAAAGGTATGACAAAAATATGTTTAAATGCATTTTGTTCTCTTTTTATTCTTTTGATGAGTTGCAAAAAACCTATAAACTTAAAAGATCTCTTTCCCAAAATCTTATTATTAGTTTATTAGTTATTAGTTTATCAAATTATAAATATATGGATATCCCCTCCCTTCCTAATAAAAAAAAACAAACACAAATATGTTTATCGCTTCTGCGATCTATAGATAAACACAAAATGCTTTTGTACCATGTGTAGCAGAGTTTATAGAGTGTCTGCTCTAGAATCTGAAGTAAGGACTTGATCCTTACGTCTCGAGTTCGAATCCCACTGTGGGACCTAGAGTATGGCCCTTTGGATGAGTCCGTTTTAACTGAGGTCCCTTGTCGCTGTACAGGTAGGTACTGGCACGAAAAAAATCTTTCCCTGCTCAATTGCCCAGAGTGCCGAGCACAAGACGAAATTTTGCACCTCTCCACCGGCAAGTGGTGGCGTCTGCATATTAGTGATCCATTCTAGAGAGGGACATTTAACAATACACAATTAATCAATTTATTGCTGAAGTCTGTCAAGCTTTTTAAAAAAAATAAACCTTCATGCATAACTTGTCTTTTTTCAGAAATGTCTGCTGATCATATTGGATTCGACGAAGAAGAATTTGAATCCGATGCCTTTCAACGGCCATGCCACTATTTAGAATGTTTGGAGAGAAGAGAGACAATTATTCCAATTTTTCAGCCTTTTAAAATGACCAAAGCCCAAAGATCAATGGAAGCAAAAAGAGCGTATCTGGAAATTTTACTAAAGTCAGTATTCATTACATTTTCAGTAGATTGTAAAATAAATTGCGGGAATTAAAGTATTCTAAATAACTGAAGTTTTTTCTCTCATTACTTAAAAAATGTTCTTTGAAATGAAATTTGTTTTGAAAAGAAAAATTAAAATCCTTCAATTTCGAGCATTATGATTCATATCAGCACATAAACACAAATAATTCAATAATGTGTTGCCTCCAATGTTGCAAGGCTTTACACTTGAACAATTAACTTTTAAAATATATATGGAGACCAGGAAATTCATTTACGGGTAGCATGGCAATATTTATCTATGCAAATATTCACATATCTTTTTTGAACTGATAAAAGGATTGGAATAAACTAAGGAATAATTAAAGGTCTTTTGTCTTAACGTGAGACGTTATAGCGATTATCCTTTATAATCACTTTTAAACAAATTTTGTACACGCGATTTCCCGTGAACTATTATGCATATTTCAATACATTTTTCAGGAGTAAAAGATCATTATATGAATTTTATATTTAAAAAAAATGGTATAGTTCGTCTGAACAGAATGCTAATGTGAGCTTTTCAGATCAAAATTTGTCTGTCGTATGTCGTTGTTGTCGTCGTTATTTTTGTAGTACCGTTTTTTACATTTTCATCTTCTTCTCAAGAACCACTAGGCCAATTTCAACCAAACTTTCCACAAAGAGATTCAAGTTTTTTTTTCAAATGAAGGGCCAAACCTTCTTCCAAAGGGAATTAGTTATGAATAAATGAAAAATATTTATGGCATCTTTTAGAAATCTTCTCCAGGACCACTGGGCCAAGAAATATAAAACTCATGTGCAAGAATCCTCATGTAATGTAGATTCAAGATTGTTACAATTATACCCCCCCCCCCCCCCGGGGTTAGGGCGGGATCACAATGGCTGGTCAAAGTTTAACATAGAAATATATTGAAAAAAATGTTTTTATAAAAATGTTCTTTTCCAGAGCCCTTGCAATAGGAAAGATTGATTAATAGATTTTATATTGTTTGACGTCCCTCTCGAGCGTTTTTAACTCATATTGAGACGTCACCGTATGCCGGTGAAGGGCTTCAAATTTATACCTATACTCGGCACTCAGAGCAATTGAGCAGTGAGGATCCTTTATCGTGTTAGCGCCTACCGGGACACGGAACCTAAGCTTTTTTTAGGTCATATCCAATTTTGATGCCAAGCACTTGGCGAAGGAACAGAAACTACCTATGTTAACGTCTTAGTTTTGACTCGGCGTAGGGAACGCGAATCGAACCCAGCCCCCCGATCACGCAGCGAACGCTCTACCACTAGTACAATGTTACCGTGAACGGTAGAATAGGAATTCAAAGATGAATCTAATGCGGAAGTGGTAGTGTAGATTCAAGTTTGTTCAAATCAAGCCCCCTCCCCCCCCCCCCCCCCCCCCCGACGATAGGGCGGGGCCACAATGGCTGATCATACTTGAACTTAGTAATACATCTTTTTAAAATCTGCATCTCAAAATAAACGCATCTTTGATTGGTGATATTAATATGGAAACATCCTCAGGATGCACCAAGACAAAACCGATCGTAAACCAAAACTATGAATAATAGCTTTTCAAGGTTCTTGACTAATGCAATCAATAAAGTCAGTAAGTATTACGTGGCTTTACTTAATTTTCTGTGTAGGATTAAGTCATATTTAATGAAGAGGGCAGGCAAAAAAATACGAAAAGCGTATGTTTTTTTTTACAAAAAAAAAAAAAAAACAAACAAAACAAAACAAAACAAAACAATCAGATTTATATAAATATCCTTTAAAGTTACATAGTATTCTTCAACCTAACCTACAAGTATGTCACTATGTTTGGTACCGTTTTCAGAATTTAGCACATTAAATGTTGTTTTAACTTTGCGTTAATTGAGAACATGTCCATTTCCGGAAGATGATACTTTGTATCGTAGTTTCAATTTTGATTCATGGCAATAAGGCATTGCTTTTGTACATATGTTCTAACTAAAATAACCATGTACATGTATACGTCGCACTTTTGTAGTAGTTGTAATATATTTTGGATTCACTTTATTTTCAACTTGTTAAAGTAGTCTCAAAAGATCCAAAATAGGAAGTTAAGTCCACCCATTCTTTAAAGGGATTCAAATTTGACGTTTCCTCGGCTATCAGGGCCATTTGGTTGCACGGAACATCTATAGTGCAAACGCTTGCCGGAAAACGGCGCCTCCGTTTCATCTGAAGGATCCACAATTTTCACTTCATAGTACCGAGCACATGGCGAGGAACAGTTACTGCCCATTTTTTATCGACTTAGATTCAAACATGATACAAATTATTTTCTTTCAAATTTTTGGTGATATAAATAAGTAAGGTAAATAAAGCTTCTTTTGAAAATGCTAAATGACTTTCTTAAGAATTGAAAAAAAGCATGCAACCTCTATATTCGTATTTTGAATTTTTAAGCGATGATTCAAATGGCGCAACATGGATTTGGCGCCTTGGATTTTCACGATGGCAACCCAGGTTTAATCCCAGTGCGTCCGATTGTTAATACTTTTTTCAGTTCGATTTTACGTGGATTTTTTTTAGAATCGGACGAGCTTTCGTTGATCACAAAGAGTCCTGTTTCTAGTTCTTCTTACCTTTATTTATAATAATAACAATATAATTGTCGCCTTCAAGACAGTTGAAACAAAAAAATATATGAAAATAACACATTGAGTCATGTTTAAATTGGTACAATGAACAATTTTCGCTGCGAAGTTTTTCATTTAATTTCACAAAAATAGGATTTAAAGTGAAAATATTTGTATTGACTACCGGTAATCAGAATGATTGCAGAAAGGTAAAATTTTGAACAACATGCAAGGTTTAGAATTTCTAAATATTTCATAAATTAATTATTTGCATCATTTGCAAAAAAAATAAACCTACCAAGGTTATTCATTTTTTGTTGTGTTTACCATCTTACCTTATTATACACTGTACATATACATGTAGTAATATAATTGGTATTGTTTAAAGCCCTACACTTCCTACACTTCCTGTATTCTGGGTATATGGGAAGACGGCAAAAAAATCATTACTAATACGAATTTTCTCTTTTTATCAATTAGACACTGTTGTGTGGAGGATCCAAGTTGGTACGAACTCCGGAATTTCGTGTCTTTTCTGAATGTTCAGCTCCTTGATTTTGAAAATTCGGTTTTCTGCAGTGATTCCATGAGAACAAGTTTTGAGGGTTTTTCAAAATTCGTGCTAAAATTTCTTATTCAGATGGCAAGAGTAAGAATAATATATATATATATATATATATATATATATATATATATATATATATATATATATATATATATATATATCTGTATGTATGCATCATTTTCGTAAAGTCGATATTTGTTTATTTAAATTGCATTTTAACATGTTTAACTGATTAGCTACTGAGTTGTTTTATTTTTTAGGATTTTTCAACTCAGTCCAGTGTTCTCAAAAAGAGCGAATCTGAAAAGAAAAATTATTTAGACCACTTCATGGAGCGTAAAACATGGGAGACAAGGTGGTTTTTAAAAGCTGCATGAGCATAATTGTCTTGTTCAAACTGTTATAATTAGATAAAAATATGGTATGTAGACTCCTAACCATTTTTGAATTTTAACGTTAGTGATTAATTGCGTGTATGTATTGTAATAGAGCAACCTGTATACAAAGTCATCAGAAAATCTATTATTGCAATTTAATGCTTTTTTAATAAAAAAAATAATAACAAAATAATATATGTTTAATAAAGTATATTATATAATATATCCTATTCAAAACTATAAAGTAATATTTATATTTGAAAAAACATTCACCTCATTTATATGTAGTATTGAAAAAAGGGGAAGGGGTAAAACAATGAATTTAGTTATAGTGGAACACTGAACATTTCATCTCTTCCTTAAATATTTGGATTTTTTATAGTTTAATTCAGCAATATTTTCTCTCTTTATAAATGCTTTTATTAATCGCATGACAGGCAAATATTTCACTCTAAAGGATGATGTTACATATAGCACCCGATAAATTGACATGAATATGAATAATGATAAAGAAATCATATTAGCATTCAAAGTTTGTAAAGTAGAAGAGGATATTAGCTAAATTGACCTAAACTACGTGTCTGTGATAAAACGTCCGTCATCAAATTAGACAATTGCTTTAGGTAAGCGACTGTGTGTTAAATTATAATAATAGTCAGACAACGTAGATTCCTCCGATATGCATATCTCTCTTTTTACGAAGGACCGTCTATTATCTTTCCATAAAAGAACATTTTGTCACAGAACAGGCCGAATCTCGACGTGATAGGTTCTAAAAAAATCATAGATAATGCAGTATTCCTTATGATTAAAATATGTCGGAACAATTGCAACTATTTAATAGGCGTAGTATTTATTCACTCATGTATGAAAACTACCAATATCGTTGTAGATTAAAAATATAATTCGTCGTGGAAAATGTCACCAGTTCGCAGTTATGTCACACCATCATTTTATTCCTTATCTTTAGATATGCTATCTTGATTACTATTCTTTTTACTATAAAGGTATTTTCCCCTTATTGTTTTCTGTTTAATACGTTTGTAAATCAAGTAAAAGCACGATAAAGGGAACTATTCTTATTTTTTTCATTCTTACTCATTCCATGAAATCATGATGTCACAGTCCGCATCCCTACTTGTTTTTCAACCAAGACAAAAACACTATCACTTTTTTGGGTTTCAACATCGAAAGAAAGAACAGACACATCATAGATCCCGATACAGGAAAAATTTTGAAACACGAAGTCATGTCACACACACTTTGGGAGCAATTGCACAGGAACGGAGTTCCATTGACTGAAAAATTTGATGAGCTGACACGGTAAGTTAACAAAACAGGGATAAGAGAACAATCGGCCTTATTTCCAAATAATTGCTTTTTTTGATAAACACTTATGTTTCTGACCAGAAACATATTTTTACATGCATTATATTGGTTTCCGCATATTTTGTAATATAATATATCTGATCATTGGATCTTTTTGGCTTTTGGAATTTGTTTTCGTACTGTAAAGGTAACTTCTTTTGATAATTATGAAACATACGAGAGTTATTCAAAAAGTTCGTAGACTTTTGTTCTTACTTTTTAATTTATCGTTATATTACATGTATTTCCTTATTTGGTACATATATTTTAACAACAAATTCTAATAATATGTGTAAAAATGGAATATTCTTTATATTTATAGAAAATATAAATGATTTAGTTTAGCAAAAAATTGGGTCACGGTGAAACATCAAAATGGAGTCATTAACTAATTTTCATTTATAGTATATATAGATTTACCTAATAAATAGAGCTGAAACAAAATAAATTTTACATGTTGAAATTAATTCTTCATGTATTATTTAAGATGCTATCAGGTATTGTAATATACCACTCATTTTAAAAGATATCAGTTTTTAAAAACATAAAGACTTGATTAAAAAAGGCGAAAAAAAACAATGTATGACGTTAGAAGACGTCATGGAAGAGCAAGTAGCAATAAAATTTTGCTTTGTATTTGGAAAACGTCTTTTACAAATTTTTAAAAATCTGTATTAACCAGGAAATTTAAAGGTTCGAGTCTAACGATTGATGATCTGCAAAAAACAGGTTATAGTTACAAATGTATTAAAGTTAAAAATCTTATCAAATAAGTTAGGAACGTCATTAAACGTAATCTACGCTTCACTTTTGCGAAACAGAGTTACGCGGTAAAAAATTTTAAAAAACTGGAAACCTACATGTATTTCAAGCTATTTGCGCAATTGCTAGCGAACTAGTATATAAATTTTATTGATACGTTTTTATAAATGGAGATCACACGATTTGATTAAAAAGCAGAGGTCTTTTAGAAACGTTCTCTATGTTGTTTTTGACGTCACAACGTTAAATAACCACGCTTCGTGGTTACAAAACACATTTTTCTCAAAATTTGCTGACATGAATCATATTTATTTATAAAAGGGAATGAAATTTTACACTTCAAAAAATATGTTTTTATTTTCGAAAATATGTTGATCTATAATTTTGTAATAATAATGTTAAGTAAAGGAATATTCTCTACCTTTTTTTAATGACCCTCTTATATTGATTTTGAAGTCAAAGATTAAATCAATTGTTATACATTTTACTATAAAAAGTACACTCAAATTTTGGTAAATCCTTGAAGGAACTTTTTTGCAAAAAGTAACATTTTGTAACTTCCCATAAATATATAGGGATAACAGGATTATTTTAGATTTTGAGGCCAAAACATCACGGGTCAATGTTTCAAATTTATATTCATCGTATTTAAAAAGTCATTTATTCAGAATTTATTTTTTAAATGAAGCTTAAGGTATAAAATCTTTCAGCCTAAAAAGCGGAAGTTAAAGAACTTGCTCAAAAGAGAAAGGTAGCACACACATATGTCATAAGATCATAGACCATTTCGGGCAAATTGATACTTTATATAAAATTTATTTTATTTAGAAAAGTGTGATTCGCCAGAAAGATGATTTTTTTTTCAAATTGATTCATTTTGATATATTTTGCGTGTATTTTAAATGTTTAATATTCTTTAATATTACTTTTTAAAAAAAAAAAATCCCTACAACTAACAAATGAACAGTTTATTAGAAGGAATAACCATTGTTACAAAGGATAAATATCGCTTAAAGGAAGTCCTTAACAAAATACAGAATTAACAATTTGTCTTGTACATCAATCGATAATAATAAAGTAGAAATCAAGACAGAGGTGTGTAATTTTAGTTATTTTGCAATGCCCACAGCCATGACAAATACCCCAAGTGCGGAAAGTGAAAAGGGAATCTCAATACTTTTTCCTAGAATATCAAAATTGCAAAAAATATTTACTTGTATGCGGTACATGTGTATAAAACTGAAAAACTTGCATCATAAAAGCAGCGTAATACATAAGCCGAGATAAATGCCAAAACGTACCAATGCATAATCATTATGGTGCTTTTGTGAAAACATTGGCTTCGCGTATGCATAACGCAGCCTTTATGATGTCACAATAAGACGTATGTAACGACGAAACTGTTTTTAAAACAGCACAGTGAAGGCTACAAAAAGGGGGCAGAGCTTAATCTGTAGGGGAAATTAAATGATAACATCATACAAAATATACTTCATACAACGATTCTTAAAATTACCACAAAATGAGGTGATTTGCTATTTTAACATGTAGGAATCCATCAACTACATCACAATTTACTACAGTATGCTGTTTTGTCGTTAGTTAAATCCCACATAACAAGTTATAAACAGGTGTATGATTGTAATCACTTGTCGACGTGACGTCATTTCGTAATACCTGACGCACTAGTAAAATATATATATATATATAGCTTACTTCAATACTACAAGTACATGTGCTAAAATCACGTGACTACCGCATCACATGACAAATCTAAATAAAAAAAAATACCATTCTGATTATGTAGTTATAAACCATAATTACAATTATCCGATATAGATAATGCTGGAAAAATAAAATCCATTCCAATTATGAATTAATTTTCAAATAGAAAATCAAGTCATTATTTCCATTGCGAACCTTAACTCCACTGCATATACTTATACTTGCATGCTCTCTGTTTTCCCTCACTAAATGAACCTGCGACCTTCAACTGCATTCACAGGACTACATAGGACTATATAACTCCTTGTACTCGCATAGTACAAGCCTCACTACACTTGGTGTTCAGAAGAATGTGTATGACATGTTGTGCAAAAGGTTAAGATAAAAGTTTTTGATAAATTTTCTGGAAAATACCGAATTTGAAAATAATTATAATCCCTGATTTAAATCTTTGAACAGCCAGTGATTGCTAATATTCACCAATACATATATAAGTTCAATAACTCAATATTATATAGTTTAAATATTTCCACATAAGTTAAAAAAATTATTTAAGTGAGAAAACTCAAATTTATAATACATATAATATTATATATATAGGCCCTTATATCATCGGTACAGAGTGTATTCAAATTAACGTCTGTACTGTAAACCTTCAATATTGCATTATTCTGATGACTCTACCGAGCAAAAAGATTTGCTTATTGAGGTTTTAATGGGTCTAAAACGTACTGAATTTTTAATAAATTATTTCATTTAGTGTGAAAAATAAACACATTTAACCTATATGCCACTTCCTTTCTTTAATTTAGCTCTGAGAATTTGAACCAAACAACTTTTTTTTGTTTACAACGGGGAGTTCGATACTGAACGGCCTTATTCGGAATGTTTCGGGCATACTCTTAATGAGGCTGGGGTGTGGCAGCCATTTTTAGACTATTTTGATTTCCTTTAAAAGAAGAGCTCCATATAAGGATATACAAAAATGATCAATTTTTAAAACAAAAATTTATTAGTTTTTTCTTTGCTAATTAATAGTTGACAGTTCAAGATACCGTATCTGATTAATTTGTTGACCCCCCAGCCTCCTTAAACGTAATAAAAACTCAACACTTAATAAAATGTCAAGATAATGTACGCTTAGAATCTGTGAATTTTTGGTAGTACTTTATTAGAGACTTTTTATTAGATATTTTATAAGTTCCTCTATATAAGTCTACTGAAGGCAGTGCGATAAGAATATCACAGTTGGAAAAACATAGACCCGTTTCTTTTTATTATTATGATTGTTCACAGTACACAATTATAATTTCATTTCCGATAATAGGGTTTAACTTTCGATTTCCGCTATCTGCCTGATAATTTTTAAGACATTTCTTAATCTAGTTTTTTCATTTTATTTTCCTCCTTCTACGCGTGTTGTTTTATAAAAACTAAGCTTTAAACTCTCTTTTCCTCTTATAGTTTAAGTTATCGTATTTTAGTCAACAAAACGGAAAATAATGGACAGATGTTACAAATATTTTTTTTATCTTTTTTGGAGACACAAAAGGTAATGTCACCTATCAGGATGAGAAACATATATGAATCTTGGATATATTTCTCCTAAGTCTTGGAAAATGAAAAGAAAAAATATTAGTTAAAACTTCAATAAAATTACAAAAAGGACAAATTAAACAAACAAATTAAGGTTTATGGATGATATTGAAATTTAAGAATGTAAAAGCTACGGGAGTGCTAAAAGTGTAATATAAACTTTACAAAAATACACCAAGCACGGTATATTTTAGGAGGAAACGCAAACTGGTGAAAAGTACATAGATTCCTTTTCACTATTTCCAAATGTACACGTCAAAGCAAATCACGAGAAACGCAAAACACAATTGAAAATGCAAAAACCTAATAAATGGAAACATCATACTTTGTGTGATATGATACACACGCGATTCGATAGGATACACACGCGATACGATAGCGTACAAGCACGGTCCGATAGGATACACGCACAAAAGGATATGATATGATTACAAAGAATAATGTTATGAGTACTGTAAACATATATAGACAAAATAAATATATAAGAAAAAAAACTTTTGTTGTGACATGAAAAAAAAATACTTGTCTGTAAATGTGCTTTAGCAAAGTTCATTATGACGTCATGATATAACGTTAATATTGAAATTATATCCATCGTCTTGTGACGTCATGGGTTTTTTGCAAAAAATGTTATCAATTTGAATTCAAACCCAATAGAACAATTTCCTCTGGAAAATGCTTTTTATTTGATGTAATGATAAATATTGCTTAGTAAAAGAATTTAAAAATGTATATTTTCTTTATTTAATCAATTATTCAATCTGTGAGAAGTGTTTTCAGATGTTGTCAAGAGCAACAACTCCTTCTCAGCTCTCCCAATTCAGGCATTTTCTGTATTGTACTTCAAATATAAATTAGTTCCACTGATATTCTCAATGCGAATGTAACAAGTGTTTTGGAATTTTTAGCATCAGAATTATGCAGTTTTTACATAATGTCTATAATACAGTTTACAAAAACATGTACGATTTTTTTTTAATTAATATTGACATATACGTCTGTTAATTAATGTCTCCCATATTATATATAATATGACAATTTATACAATTTTTGGAATAATTGATACGTTTAAACTATATTAAAAGAAAATACATGCAGTTTTGTTCTTTGAGCCATTTATATTGTGAGGATAGAAAGACCTTAATACAGGAAACCGGTGATTAAAGGTACTTGGACGCATATTTGAAGTTAATATTTTCTCTATAACGCAGGTACGATAAGGCTTCCTAAAGAATATTGTAGTGTACTCTCTGCATGCACTTCTCTGAACTACAAATATATGACGTCATAATTGAAATGACGTCAAATCACTGCATACTTGAGCTGAAATGATGGGGAGAATGTCATAAACTTTACACCTTATTTCAATCTAAATATAAATTTTTGAACGCTAGTTCAAAATAAAAATGTTATTATCTTTTTTCCAAAGTCTAATATATCCGAATAATTTACTCAACTTTGCTTTATTACCCTTGTTTTAGAGTCAGTGTGTTCAAACTCCGTACGGAAATATACGTTTGACATTTACCTTTTTTTACCCATGGGCATAGGCAGAATTCATAATTTGCGTATAAAAGAGCCTGGCGCAGGTTGTAATTAGGATTTATTTAATATCTTTTGCGGAAATATGTAAGAGGAGATTCCCCTCTTACTGAATCCTGCTTGGGAAAAATGTATGATGGCTTTGTTTTAAAACAGATAACGATATTCAGCGTAAAATACCCCCATATTTATCGGTAAGTTAAGTTAATATAAAATAAAATGTTCCAAAGAAATAGTATAACTTTTCCCAAGCACATTTCGGTTTCACAAGGATGCATCGAGTCTATATATGTCAAAAAAGTTTATAATAATTGTGTTAATAACCTGCGCCGAAGCGATTTATGTGAAACATTTCAAAAAAGAAGAAATCACCGTCACGTGATCAATAAGATCATGTGACATCGTAAAAAATTGTTTATATATAGCCTAGAGGATTCTCTGTATGAATTTGGCGTATTGAAGTACTTAACTAAAGAAATAAAACTCAAAATCAGCTTTGCAATACAGTGTTACGTTTTAAATGCATTTTAAGCTCCGGGAAGCCTTAACAGTACTGCGAATATTACGACTTATATATTCTAATAGCATTTCAAACAAAAATTAATTAAAAATCTTATTTCATATAAAAGATATTAAAATTTCAAATTTCTTGGCGGGTTTGATTGACACATCTTTGCAATTTCACAAATTTTAACTTTATACATTTATTGCATGATAGTGAGGGAAATATGAAGATTTCTTCACCCATGAAAAATCATATTCCCCGAGGGCAACGCCCGAGGGGAATATGATTTTTCATGGGTGAAGAAATCTTCATATTTCCCGAACATTCGTGCAATAAATTGTTTATTATACCGAATCAAGCATTGCATCAAATTAATATGAATAAAAATGATGATCAAATATGACATGTTTAATAAATTTATCAACACACTCAATTTTAACAACTGTTCAAGTAAGAACTGAGAAACAGCATGAAACATGTACCATTTCCTACTCTCTCTGAAAAAAATCCATTCTGCTTTGTATCACAGACAAGAAAAACTTAACAATTTTAATAACAGACAAAAGTTTGGCTAACTGAAAAATATCACAATTTCACAACAACAAAAAAAATTAACTGCTTTGTATCACAGATAAGAAAAATTAACAAATGTAATAACAGACAAAATTTAGCAAATTAATTCCAGAAATATCATAATTTAAATATAATATCTAACTTCTTTGTTTAATATAACGTAAGAAATATGTAATTATAACATTTTTAACACAAAACAAGTATTATAAATGTTTTTAGACTGGAAAAAAAACTATATTCAGTCTTGTAACAATAGATAAAGCAATGAAATTCAACATGTTAAATCAGTCTCATCAAAAAGTTCATTACTTGTGATAATTTATGTTTATTTGGACTCGGCAATTTCCCGAGAAATTTGGCCTAAACCATCCAGGTCCTCTACTAGACACATCCAGCTGATTTTGGGACACAAGCTTCCTTTGATCAATTTCAAGGAGAACATTTGAAAGCTCGACATTCGACTGAACATTATCGAGAGGATTAAGTTCAAAGTCCTCTGCAAAAACACTGGCTAGATCACTAAGATTTTCCGTGACTGTTTCTGGGATTACGTTTTCCTGTGTTGTATGTTGGTGTCCGAGGGCTGCACTAAGGGTTTCTGATATTTCCCTCTTCTTTCCGTCACTTATAAAGTGGGAGTATGATTTGAGTGAGGTCTCAGACTTATGGCCGGAAACTTTCATTATATGTCGCCCACTGATACCAGCCACATCTAATACTGTGATACTTGTCGCACGGACAGAATGGTTCCTATAAATTTTGGAAAGTTTTCCCACATTTGAGATGTCAGACATAAAACTGGCCAAGGAATTTTTCCCTACAGATGCGTTTACATACCATACATCCGCATCAGGGTCAAATGAATCTCGGGGTCTCTGCCATAGATCACTCTTATTGGGATTTAACTTGGATAAATACTTTTGAAATGAAAACACAGGGCAGTTCTTGTTTCCTGGAAATATTGAGAATAAAAATGCAATAATACATGTGTATTCTGTAAAAAACCAGAGACCTCTAATTATACATAATTGTTTAAACAGCTAATTATTTTACCTGGTAACTCGTACATTCGCCCATCTGTTACACTCCCTGCTGCATCTGCTCTGTGATTCTTATCCAACTCGTCAATGGACTGATACACATACTGTCTACCAACGTCATCTCTGGCTATCTTGAATGTGTCTTTCGTCATGGACCTCAAATTTTCTCTGCCTCTTCTGCATAGGTACAGAGTTAATTCGAACCAAACCTTTCTCTGTAATCCATATGGAGTGTTGGTGTCAAATACTGGGGTGTCGACGCTGTACAATTTCTGGAGATCTTTCTCGGATATTGGAGGGTGGTGATCAATTCCCCCAAAGCCCTTTTCTTTTCAAATCTGTAGAAACTGCTTTAAATATTTCGTTACTTTCATTGAATTCTGAGTCATTCACAATGTCGATGTTTCTTTTCTCTTTCAAAAAACGTTTTATCCCATAACGGATGTTTTGTAAAGCACTTTTCTTAAAATGCTCTCCTGTCGTTTTTCTAGCTCCCACATAAAAGGACTTCAGTGCTTTATTTAGGTCCTCTACGGATAAAACCTCAAAATCCGCTGTCAGATCAGAGCATTCTGCCAAAAAGTCACGGAAACATTTTACTGCCACTTTTGTAGCTTTTTTTGTGTTGATAGCGTCCTTTTCATTCAATAATAATGCGTAATCCTCACTGCCAGGCTGGTGAAACCTTGCCATGTTTGTTATCGTCTGCGTCATTCGGAACTTTTCGGTTTTGTTCATTTAACCGGAAACGAAAGTGAAACAAGAGATATCCGAAGAGGTGGAACACGACGTTTTGCTGCAGGGAAAACACGACGGTCATGTGACCTTCTCAGCCAATCAGATTTTATTTTAGTAGTGTTTATTTATATGAGGTATAATAATATTCTTTATCCTTAGGAAAAGTTTAATTAGGGTGTTCCGTCTTCAGCGGAAGACCCTTCTATTATTCTATTGTTTCTTTTTCACTTTTCTTATTATGTCGCCCCGAACGAAGTCGGGGACGACATATCGATGATGTACGCATGTTTTTTTTATCCAGGCTGTTTCTCGGAGATGGCTGGGACAATCATCCTGAAACTTTCCTCAAAGGACGATCACTGGTTGTAGTTGTGCAGTGAGGTCGTTCAGTTCCAATATGTCTACCGTTGCCATGGAAACCTGTAAAGAGCGACAAATTTTGTCCGAGAGTGTTCTCTCTGGTCCCTTAAACTTTCGTCATGAAACTTTTCTTATTTTGATGATAAGTATCTTTAGTTGTGTGATTCGCATTTAAAATTTTCAAATAATCGATTATTGCCATGGAAACCAGGTGAAAGTTAAAATTCTTTAATTTCGATTTCCTCAATAACTACTCAGGCAATCGTTTTGAAACTTTCAATGTTTATTCCTTGCAATGTGTCAAAGTGATTTCTACTTTCAAAATAATTGTAATGAGTCGCTCACAGTTGCCATCGAAACGAAACAGAAAAAAGATTCAGATGTACACATGTGTTCTCCAAGGTCTAGGTCAAAGGGTCAAAGTTCGTCGTATCCAATAAAAGTTCTTTTCACAAGGATTACATATTTGAAATACGAAAGCCTTAGTACTTACCGTTCAAATGTTATGGCTATTTACTATGTTCAAGACGACCCCCCCCCCTTTTTTTGAAGCACACAGCCAAGTAGAATACACAAATATAACATATACAACTTACAAGTAACTTTTTAAAACATTCACAAAATTCAGTTCCCGTCATGTGATATTTTGACATCATTCATTCTCCTTCTGTTTTGTCTCTTGAATTTATAAATATTTTATCTTATCTATATAATAAAAAATAACGATTGTCAGCTGCATTTATTAGCATTTCGCGTTTTCTTGTATATCTATCACTTGTATATTATTCATTTCATTAGAGAGTGCAAGTATAAATTCAAAAAATGGTACGTCATTTTCATAGTTTTTATTCATTCATAAATCCTTTGATCCGCTCCTGCAGGTTCGCGTAGCCTTGATCACCACCGTATACAAACATTCATCTCGTTGAAAATGTTCATGATTCCGCTAAACTGAAAAAAGTTTACACATGATTTATCATCTCATAACAAACATCAGCTCTCTGCAATGCAGAAATGCTCAAATTGATGGTGGCATGTCAGATTCGTTTTTCGGTAGAACCTCTAAAATGAAAGTTAAGGAGGGAAATTTCAGAGTTCTCACTGGCGTTACAATACACAAAATAATTCGGCTGATCTTCATAAATAACATTTCCGAAGCTTTTATGATAGGAAAGACACTGCCAATTAACAAATATGAGGCTCAGTTCAGTACATCTGCCAGATTTCTTTTATGCAAGTCTGCAAATTTAGGAACTTGTAATTTTCCTTCACTACTTTCTTCTCCTACCGATTCTTAAAATAATGAGTGGGCTGTACCCAATTAAGGTCTTCCGTTTCCAATGGAAAGGACTGATACAACTCGATGGTTGTTCAAACTTAGCTGATGGACTTTTGTTTTAGTGATGATTAAAATGAAAGTCTTGTCCAGTACGGGGCGACATATGCTATTGCTTGCAATAGCAGACTTTCTAGTTATTCTTTTCCTTTTTTTTCTTTACAAAATTTGTGCAGAAGATTTCTCAGAGATTTTTTTATCCAATTTGCTTCAAATTTTCAGGGAAGACGTATTGACATTTGAAGTTAATTCCGGAAGATTATTTTAGGAATATTCATTTCCGGTCGGAAGTTATCGCCCTTTGATCGAAATTTAGAGGACCTCCTTGTCTGTAATGGAACTCAAAAACGGTTCAAGCTAGAAAGTTGAAATTTTCAGGGATGATAGAGGACATGTTGCCATATTGCACCTAGGTCAGGATATTTTCCGGAAGTGCCTAGTATGGAAGCTCGATAGGAATAAAAAATTAGGACACGAATCATGACGGATTTTTTGAGACAATTTGCTTTGTATCTTTTAAATTATAATTATTTTGTTAATACATACTGAGCAATATTTGTGCAGAACTACAAGATCTTTCATATGATATCAAGAAAAAAAGTGCTGACTCATCACATTAAGGGCTTAAAGGGGCCAAAAGTCTTTATCCAATAACTTTTAAGCAGTCAATAATTTGTTATACATTAGTGAAGAAAAAATGTTTATCTCAACAATCTTCAAGAAGGATATGGAAATAACGAACAGTATTCAATCTCAACGTCCATTAAACAAACATACAAAACAAGAGCAGAGCAAACACGGACCTCCGAAACATCAGAGGTGGGATCAGGTGCCATGGAGGAGTGAGCATCCCCTGCTGACCGGTCACACCCGCCGTGTGCTCGTTGTCATAATCAGGAAATAACGGAAAAAATCCGTGGTCAATTCAGTGTATAAATAATGGACTAACAATTGGTATTAAAAACGTCAGTCAGCATTTCATTCAATGATAAATTGTATTTGCTGACAAGGTCATTGTATCGACCATAGAATTTACGAAATGATGACTTTAAACGAGACTGTTGATATTCTTGTTTCATCAACTTGCTTGTCAATAATTTACCTCGTTTAAGAAATTGTTCATACGTAGAGCATGCTCTTGCGTATCGAATCAATTGAGATTATTATGATTATTTATTATGATTTTTATATCGTATATTACATAATTAGGGGCTTCAAGGGGTCAGAATGCTCAATCTTTGAAGCTTTATATCTCGAAAGGGAGAATATTTTTTTAACTTATATAGAACAAAAGATGTTCAAAATAATGTTCTTAACAATATGCAACCTTTCATTTTTCGCTAAACGTCCCCGTTAGGGAGTTGAAGGGTTGGTCCCTAAATATTTCTATTGCAAATAACTCGAAAACGAAAAGGAATCTCTGAATTGTAATTGAACAAAAAGTGGGCAAAATCCCAAGAGCTTGAAGATGAAATCCAGAAAAAGGGGCTGGGCATTCAAATTAGGGGCCAAAAAGGGCTAAAAGTTTTTTTTTCGATAACTATTTAACAGTCAATATTCTGTTATACATTACTGAAGCAAAAGTGTTAATCTCAACAATCTACAACTGTATATTATAATTTTAATGTCGTATGGTACATTATTAGGGGCCACAAAGGGCCAGAATGCTAAATCGTCGACGCTTTATATCTCGAAAGAGAGAAATATTTTGATTTGTAATATTGAAATAAGATGTACAAAATAATGTTCTAAACAATATGCAACCTTTCATTTTCCGCTAAACGTCCCTGTTAGGGAGTTGAAGGGTTGGCCCCAAAATATATCTTTTGCAAATAACTCGAAAACGAAAAAGAAACTCTGAATAATTGTTGAACAAAAAGTGTTTAAAATCCTAAGAGCTTTAAGATGGAATCAATAAGAAGGGGCTGGGAACTCAAATTAGGGGCCAAGAGGGGCCAAAAGTTTTCAATTGTAACTCTTGATCAGTTAATATTTTATAATACATTATTGAAGCAAAGGCGTTTTTCTTAACCATTTACAACTATATATTACGAATTTTATATCGCATGGTAAATAATTAGGGGCCACAAGGGGCCAGAATGCTAAATCCTTGACGCTTTATATCGCAAAAGGGAGAACTATTTTGATAAGTAATATTGAACAAAAGATGTTCAAAATCATGTTCTGAACAATATGCAACCTTTCATTTTCCGCTTAACGTCCCCGTTAGGGAGTTGAAGGGTTGCCCCCTAAATATTTCCTTTGCAAATAAATCAAAAACGAAAAATAATCTCTGAATAGTTGTTGAACACAAAGTGTTCAAAATCCTAAGAGCTTTAAGATGGAATCAATAAGAAGAGGCTGGGCACTCAAATTAGGGGCCAAGAGGGGCCAAAAGTCTTCAATCGATAATTCTTTATCAGTGTATATTTTGTAATACATTATTGAAGCGAAGATGTTTATCTCAACCATCTACAACTATATATGATGATTTTTATGTCGTAAAGTACATAATTAGGGGCCACAAGGGGCAAGAATGTTAAATCTTTGACGCTTTATATCTCGAAAGGGAGAAATAAGCAATATTGAACAAAAGATGTTCAAAATCTTGTTTTGAACAATATGCAACCTTTCATTTTCCTCTAAACGTCCCCATTAAGGAGTTGAAGGGTTGGTCCCTAAATATTTCTACTGCTAATAGCTCAAAAACGAAAAGAATTTCTGAATAATTGTTGAACAAAAAGCATCAAAATCCATAGAGCTTTAAGATGATAAGAATTAAAAGGGCCAATTCCTAAAATTAGGGGCCGTGAGGGACCAAAAGCCGTTTTTTTAAGTCTTTAATGTTCATTGTCTTTTTACAGATTGTGGAAAATCATTATTTTAGAATGAAAATCTCAATCAAAATCTCATCTCATCAAGAATTGGACGGAAGACCCACTCGTTGCTCGCAACGAGATCGTATCTAGTTATTATTCTTTTTATTTTTAATTAATTTTTATGTGAAATACTAATAAAATATATAATTCGTGATATTCTACAGAAAATATTAACGTCAAATCTGTGTTCAAGTACCTATAATACAAAAAGTACAGTCATAAAATGCGGGTAAATATATCTTTCTTAAACTTAATATAATTATTAGGTTAATTAAGTTGATTATTAAACAGGCTTATTCATGTATATAAATTTTTCTTTATTTTCACGCCACCCGCATGGCGCAATGGTTATATGCATAGTGTTTGGTCTAGAGTCGCGAAGTAAGAAGTCAATTCTTACGTTGCGGATTCAAATCCCACTCTGGAAAATGGAGATTGGTTCTTCGCATGAGACCGTTTACCCTGGGGTCCCTTGTTACAATAGGTGCTGGTACGAAAAAAATCTCTCACTTCTCAATGCCCCTGGGTGCCGAGTAAAGGACAAAATTTGTATCAATCCACT